CACCTTCATCTGAATCTACATCGAAGCAATGGTCTAAAACATCAACCAATTTCAAACTCAGGAACACATATCGTCTTATTCAGCTAGTGAGTGGATGGAAAGCTTTCCTTGTTGTTTCAGAAAGCCCAAGAGCTTCCAAAAATGGCTTTTTGCTTTATTATAACAAAAAGATATGGCAACGGCCAAGAATAGTACGGGTGCATGGCGGAAGGCGAAAAAATTCGAAAAACATTTGTAAAGAAGCACCACATTTTGCCTAAGTAGTGCGACGCTTTTTGCCTAAGCATGTTCATGGAAGAACTCTTTGCTTAAAGCCCAGAAGGAAGGTGGAGAAGAAGAGTGCCTGGCAAACGTTCCGCGTACCTTCCGGAAAAATGGCACTCGACCGCCTCCGAACGTATAATACCAAATTGAAGAAGAGCTTAGACGTGGAAACATATACACAAATAAAATACATTTTAAAATACTCACTTGTGCGATAATTGATTCTAGTAAAAATGTGAGAATATATGTGATTGAATTTAATAAGAAGAACGAACAGTTGATAGATGAAAATATGCACTTAAATACTAGTCTCAATCTTTTTTCGTCATTCCTTCCTCTAAAAGAACCATCCTCCCACAAGGAGATCACTAAGTTATGTCTTCGGTGACAGCCATGGCGGCGCGGAAGTCTTGTCGCGCGGAAATCGCGCAGCCAGTTACGTAGATTTAGATGAGACCCTAAGAATGCTAGCAGAAAAATTATAACAAACCCAATAACACTGCCAATCTCGCAGAATGGCAGCTCATGAAGTTCGAAAACTCCAGAGAACAAAACGAGTTTTTGTATTCGCGGATTTTTCAAGCAGGTTGAAACTGGAAAAAATAGCCATCTTTTTTAAAGTTAAAAAAGTAAGTTAGCGGACCACCTTTGAATGCTAGTTGAGCTCCAGCGGAATGTCCGGCTAATGTAACGTGGTTTACATTAGGATATTTGCTGAGTATAAACTGGATAGTATACGTAAAGCAAAAACTGATTTTTGAAATTAAGAAAGTGTTGACGAAACAACTTGTTCCTTTTCATATCACAGCAAAAGAATTGAAAACCTACTTTGACAGCAGTCGCCACTTGCTTGACCATTTGTGATATAGAATGGGTAGGAGTTGCGTAGTCATAGCCGACTGCTGCCATAGCTATACCTTTTTTCAGCAAATTCACAGCAGCAGGGGCAACCACTTTCCTCGTCCCTTCCTGAACTTTATATTGCACGTAAAGACCATGTGAGTTGATAAGAAATTGTTCTTTGGGACTAACTTGCCAATAACCACCGTGAAAGAATATGACTAAATTGTCATCCACTTCACCCCAAATGTCAATCCTTGTCAAATCGTTGGTATCATCTAAACAGAAAAATCGCTTTTCGTGTTGAAATGCTATTAATCTTTGTTGAGTTTACATAGAAACCGCTATAACTCGGAATATGTCATGGTTGAAAATCCTACAGATGCACCATCGTGGCGAGACTACTGCTGGAGCTTTACCAAGTTGTTTATTAATTGATTTCAATTCTCAGGCGGTTGTAGTCGCTCAATCCACTGTACCTGCGTCGCCGTAATCACCGTTATTCTTCCATGACGTAGGGCGGAAAGCGACAAAATCTGAGAAATACCTGTGTAGAAATACGTCATTTTGCTCAACTATTTCGGCGATTTTTGCCTAAGCATAATAAGGGGAGGATTCTTTGCTTATGGCACAAAAAGGAACGCTGCGAAGGAAGTTAAAGTGTTAAAAATATGCGAACGTTACTCAGTTTGGTTACCTTGCGCGCGCTTCCCCTTCTTCACTGTGGCGCTGACTAAAAAAAGACCTGAAAAATGCGGAACTAAAAACAGTGGTCATAAAAACGAACAAAAATCTTTAGATTTTCTCTCCGCCTTAGAAATGAAATCAAATAGGAAATGAAAGCAAACAACAGACAACATGGAAGCGCCAGCGTGGCAGAGCCAGCGTGGCGGAGTCAGCAGGTGGCATCGCCACGATCGTGTAACTGTAGGATTTTCAAAAGTGACAAATTCCGAGTTATAGCGGTTTTACTTTAAATTACCTGCACTCAAATATGGGAGATCTTCAGTATGGGTGGTTTTTCTTAGTTGCCCACAAACTTCATTTCCGATGCGCAGGTACTTATTGATAACCTTAATATGACAAGACAATGAAGCTTTGGCTCTAATTTGGTTGTATTAATATACTGTTCTTCGCTTTCCTGAAATGGAAGCAAATGATCTTATTGACATTGGTATTGGTCTGCACACCTCGGTAGCATCTGATCCTGCCCAGCGACTGCAGGAATACAAATGTGTGAGTGCTGGGTCAGGATCCATCAGTTCTGCTAAGTTGAACACTCTCAAACTCTGGACCGCTGTGACTGTTGAAACGATGTTTGGCGGAGATCATAAATGGAGGCTTTAGATGAAATTAACAATAATGCGCACAATCAAATGAATGATTTAATGAGCAATTATTGAGGTTTTGTCTTGAGTCTATTTTAAGATGATGT